AAAAAAAAAAAAAAAAAAAAAAAAAAAAAGTTTTCTGTAATCTGTATACAGAAGAATTAATGTTATTATTTTTTTTTAGGTGATGTTTCACGGCTGTTAATAAGTCGTGCTTCTGATATTAGTGCTGGAGCTGAAAAAATTATTGAAGCTTTACTACCAAAAAAGACCACTGATGCACCGGCAAAAGATACAGTTGGAGAAAAAATTGATATTAATACTGCAGAAGCAGATAATGATTTAAACAGTGGAAAAACTGTTCAATCAGTAACAAAATCTGTTGATACTCATCAAAGACCAGATACTGATAATGTGGTGGATTTGGTGAACGAAAAAATGACCAAAATTGATGTCAATGTATAAACTTTTTTTGCAATTACCATCTAAAACACCAACACTGTGATATGGTTTTACTGCTGTATCGGTTTCGTTGATTGCTTTTTTTAAACATTATCTAAAAATATTTGTGCAGTAAAATAATTTGATTTTATATTTGTACAGCTGATTTTGAAAACATTCTTCTTTCTTCCTTCGTTCTTTGTTTGTTTTTACAATATTAATGACAACAACAGATAAGTTGCAGAATTGAATTGAAAACGATTCTAAAAGATTGTTTTACCTGGAATTATAGTTTATAATGTTGAAAGTGTTGTTGTCGTTGTCGTTGTTGTTGTTGTTGTTGTTGTTGTTGTTGTTTTTGCCACTGATTCTGTGAAGCAATATTTACTTGTTGTTTAATATCTGTTTAACAATCTGAAGAGGAAGAGGAAAACGAAGAAGAAGAAGACGGAGAAGAAGAAATTATTTGTTGACAGTATTATATGTTTTTAAATAACTCTGATAACAGTGTATTTGCAATCAAAAATAAAGATTAATTAACTGTAACAGAAAAAAAAAAAAAACAATTTTGTTTTCAGATTCAATTTACAAAAAAATATAATTTTAGGTCGATGCAAAAAATAAAGTATATATGCATAATATTAAAAAAAACGATAATAATAATAATTATTATAGAACAATGATAACAGCTAAGTAAAGATGGAGTTTACTTAAAAGTATTCTTTCCACTGACTCTTTTTTTTCTTGCTTATTTCAATCTTCCAAACTTTTTTCTTCTTTTGATTTTCTGTACTTCTTACGCATCTATTTTGATTTTCTTCAAAAAATTTACAAAAATACAGCAGAGAAGAAGGAAGAGTGGTGTATCTTCATAACGCTTCGATGTCAATATCAAAGTTACTGTTGTCACCTTCTGATAGTTATCTGCACAAAATTTTCTATCTTTTTATTTTTTTAATTAACAAAGAAAAAACGTCATATTGAGCAAAATAGAAGAGAAATTTCTTCATTTATTCACTTGTTTATCAACTAATTTGATAAACATAAAAAGTATTTTGAACAAAAAAAAAACTGTTTACTGTATAAAATTTTAAAATAAAAAGTAAAGGAAAATTTTTTAAATTTTAAAATTTTATTCTCAAAATTTATAGATAGTTTTTTTTTCCTTTTTTTAAAGTAACAAAATTTTGCTGATAATTTTTGACTTAATTTTTGAATTTATTTAACTTTCTTAGAAAAAAAAAATCCATAATTATTCAGCAAATGAAATTGGTAAAAAGAAAGAAAAAAATGACAAAAAAAGCTCTGTAAAATTAAGCAAAGAAAAAAAGTGTTGATCTGAAAAACCCAATTGCTTCTTCTTTGTCAATTGCAAATGATCTGTTTGGTTGTACACTGTTGACAACTGCTGCAGCAATCGACTTGGGTAACTGTCCTTTCAGCCTTGATCAGCGAACCAACACAGATAACCGGCAATCGGAAAACTGTTTCGAATTCAGAATCCACTCTAAACTGGTTGATGATAGTGGAACGATGTAGTTGTTTATTATTTTTTTTCCACTGTTTGCTACTGGTTGAACATATAGAATGCCTAATAGTTTGTAACCATCAGATAACACTGTAGAACTTCTGTATCAGTTTAGTTCATGAAAACACAGCATTACGAGCACTTTATCAGTCACCCAACAGATACTATTTGTTTTTTTTTACTCCCAGTTTTTGCTTTGGCAGTAATGTCTGTCTGATTACTCTTTTTATTTAGTATTGTTCGCCTCCATTTTTATGCTTTTTTATATTGTTACTATAAGACATACATATATTTGTTCATTTTGGATCATTGTTTTTTTGTTTTTGTTCATTCTGATGAATCGATTTAAATTAAGAATAAAATTTAAAAAATTTCACTTCAAAAAATTGATGTTTTGAAAACTTTCAATTTGTTTTTCTTCTTCTGCATATCAATAGTTTCAGTTTTAACTTGTCGCTTATGGTTTTTTGCTTTATTTTACCACTTTTTTCTGTCTATCAGTCATCGGTAAACTTTTTTTTTTGATTTATTTAACTTCTAGGTTGGTTTTTTTTTTTTTGTTTTACACATTGTTATTATTGTAAATGTTGAAACCAGTTTTCAGTAACCTTATCGACTAAACACAATGCACGGCGTCAAACACTTCAGACAAATTTTACTTCCCAAGGGGTTCAACAAAAATTCATTTCATCTACAGGTTACTTGATGTTCGATTTATTATATACTTTATTTTATTTTATTATTATTATTTTTTGCCTTATTTGATCTACAGACGGCATAAGATACCTCAATTAATTAGTCGTAGTTTGCTCACAATGCTAACTAACTACTCAGTCACTTTCGAAAGTTAGGTAAATTGAGCAGTTAGAGGGCAACGAAGATGTCAGTGCGAAGAACTTGGGCACCACTGATTGACATTATTGGAAGTTCAGTCACTGTTATGATGTCATTCAAGTGTTTAGCAGCACTGTTTGACCGCTCCAGTAACTAACTATATAACTGTTTGTCGAAATCAACGTTTTGCTCTTTAGTTTCCAAGCAGTTTATGAAAGTGTAGTTTTGCACAACGATGCTTTCTAGCTAATAGCCTATTGTTAATATTTCTCATTTTCAACAGTATTCTTTTACGGTACGGCACAATTTTAAATATTGGAACAGTGCTTTTAATATTGCAAACAGCCAAATACGAGTCACTGAGGTGTCTGGCAAATTGCAGTGTTTGAGGTTGGCTGTTCGCTGTCTGTTTGTTCCTGGTTTTAGGTGCTTCTAAATTCTGCTACTTTTACTAAACGATATTTTTCTATAACGCTTTAATTCATTCTCACATTTATCACATCGTTGTTGCCATAGCTAATGCTCTAGTTATAAAATGTCCATCCATAAGAATGTCGGACTTGAAGTTTGAGAAAGAAAAGCAATTTAAATTTAAGTGATTGTAAGGCCAATTAAAGTTACTTCTTGTCTTATTAGAAAATAAATGACTGACCGCTATTAAAAATTCTGTGAACTTCGAAGAAAAAAAAGGAAATAAATTAGTTAATAAGAATGATGCAGTTGCAGCGGATTATAAATGGTTTTGTTAAGTTTATCAGTGTGTTAAAAAGCTGAAGAATTACCGATTTTGTTCATAGTTGGTGAAAAATTTTGCTCGGGCAATGAACGGAGATGCAAAACCAGACAATGGAGTCGGTTCAGTGGAACGGACTCATTACACTGGAAAATGTATGCTTACAGATCCAGTATCAGTAGCGGATTCCCAAGTTTATGAGATCATGAAAAATGTAAGTCTTTTATTTGATTATTTATCGGTTACAATAGTCTTTAAACTAGGCATTAAACTTAATAGCCACGTTTTCTGCTTGCTGAATGTTAATGTTTGATCACTATGTAAGATGTGTAAACTACGCGTTAGCATTAACGTGTATATTTTTATCTGCTGCTTCGAATCACTCAAATTGTCAGGAAATATGCCCGTACTTCCCGATTAAACAATCTTTTCGATTTCGTTTCCGTAACCATTTCTGCACCAAAATTTCCTAATCCCTTAATTTCTATAAAACAGAATGTCTTTAAAGTGTTCTACGCTCTTTTTTGTAGTATCTTGTACTCTGCTGTTGTGGTGTTCCGCATTGCTGAGATGGTGCTCTTTTCCTAAAAGTGGCCGATTAATACAAATAATATTCTAGATGACCAATTCTGATGATGCGGCAAATCATACAAATGTTTTCATATGTGATAAAACAATGTGATTCCATTATACAAACCCCAAATCTGTATGCGCTTGTCTCATGATAGTTTAATGATTAGCTTCAGCAAGTGGTACTCCACAAAAAAATGTGGAAGTTTTGTTTTAGCGCAAGATTACTCTTTACAGTGATGTTCTAAAGCGCCCGCTATATACCTTCTATGTTCCGCTATGTTTAATGTTACACCAATTGCTAAGTTCTCTGTGTTCCTTTAAACAAGACTGAAGTATTTAAGGAAAAGAAGCGACAAAGACGAGGCCTTGAATTGATCGCCAGTGAAAACTTTACAACGAAAGCAGTATATGATGCTTTGGGTTCAGCAATGTCGAATAAATATTCTGAAGGGTATCCTGGCGCTAGGTACTTCTCACAAGTGATATCTAAGTCTTCTGTAAATTGGAGACGTATTTCTAGATATATGTGGAATTTTGTATTTATTTTTGACAACGTCTTACTTACAGGTATTATGGAGGTAACATGTTTACTGACCAAATGGAAAGGTTGTGCCAAAAACGAGCTTTGAAGGTTAGAGCCTTTTTTTTTTCCACCTTTGCTTAAGAGTTTAACTGTCGTATTTTTGTACTAGCATAAATTACTCTTCTCCTCTTTGATAGGTAGCTTTTAACATAGAGCATCACTATTTATGTATAATATTAATGAAGTTTTTAAATACCATCTTCCTACTAATCTTCTAAAGATCTTGTTAGTAAAGGTATTCGGACTGAACCCTGAGAAATGGGGAGTGAATGTTCAAGCGCTTTCTGGCGCTCCAGCAAATTTCGCTGTGTACACAGCTATCGCGGAACCTAATGGTCGCATAATGGGATTAGATTTACCTGATGGTGGACATCTTAGTCACGGGTAGCGCTATGATATGGTTTAGTAGATATGAAAACTGCTTATGCTTGTCTTTCTGTATTTTAGATTTTCAACTCCACAACGGAAAGTTTCTGCTACTTCAATGTTCTTCCAGTCTATGCCATACAAAGTGAACCCACAAAGTGGATTAATTGATTATGATGCTCTAGAACAGAGTGCAGTGCTTTTCAGACCGAAGATCATAATTGCAGGTAATTAGTTTTGCATTTGAGGATTTTTATGCTATACAAGACCATCTAAATCCTTTTTAGGAGTTAGCTGTTATGCGCGTCACTTGGACTACTCGCGTTTCCGAAAAATTGCTGATAAGTGTGGCGCGTATCTGATGGCAGATATGGCCCATATTTCTGGTCTTGTAGCTGCAGGTGTTGTGCCGTCACCATTTGAATATGCGGACATTGTTACCACAACAACCCACAAATCACTGAGAGGTCCTAGAGGCGCTCTGATATTTTACAGAAAAGGTTACTTTTACACTTTTTCTTTAAGTGTATTTTTTGATAGAGCACCGGCACATGGTATGTTGTTGTCACTTTCTTTACCGAAAACTCATTTGAACAATATTATTTCGCAGTGAGTTAGTGAAGGTTTCAGGCGTAAGGTCAGTTAACAAAAAAGGAGAGAAAGTAATGTTTGATTTGGAGTCAAAAATAGATTCATCTGTTTTCCCAGGTCTACAGGGAGGCCCGCACAATCACACTATTTCAGGTTGGTTTTGTTTTCACTTTCATAATAGCTCCTCAGTCTTATAGTTCGGAGGTCCTCAAAAACCCGAGAGGATTCCTGAATTCCTTGCATTTTTTAGGCTTTGCTTTGAAGCACTTTTAATTCAAGAATCAAGAACCTTTATTTCACTCTGCAGCTAACTTAAAGGTTATTAGTGGTGGGAAAAAGCTGCTCTGTTTCTGGTTACTTGTAAATAGTTACTTTTTCTAGGAATCACAGTGGCACTTGGACAGTGTCTCACTGAGGAATTCGTTTCATATTCAAAGCAAGTCTTAGCTAACGCACAGGCTTTGTCTGGGAGGTTGCTCGAACTGGGCTACAAATTAGCAACAGGTGCATTCGTTTGAAGTTTTGGAACCAACATCGTTGCTTTTTTTGGTACATCTGATCAAATATTGTTTATAAACGCACTTTCATATTTTCATTCTTTAGGCGGTACCGAAAACCATCTTTGTCTGGTTGATTTGCGGCCTAATGGTCTAGATGGAGCGAAAGCTGAGCATGTACTTGATTTGGCTTCTATTACTTGCAATAAAAACACATGCCCTGGTAAGATTATTTTTCCCTACAAGAATCGGCCCAGTGCTGAATTCTTCTGGAAATGTTACATTTTTTTATTCTATTTGCGGAGTTGTTCCTTCAAATTTAGAACGACTTTTTTTTGCGGGAATCAAACAGTATATTGGAAGTAATTTGAGCTGTGTAGTATTGCTCCGAAATTATCGTATATTTTTAAGGTTTTCTCCCCTCACGGTAGATAGAGCAGTTCTTTTAAAGTGTGAGCACTGCATCACAGGTCTTCTGCTTGCTCTGTTTTTCTTCTGCCTACTGCCATACTCTCTCTGAAAAAGAATTTTTAGGAGATGCTAGCGCTTTGAGGCCTGGCGGAATCCGCCTGGGTACTCCAGCTTTAACATCTCGTGGTTTGAAAGAAGATGATTTTGTTAAAGTGGCAGATTACATCCACGAAGGTTTGTGCATTACTTTTTGCTTTCCGGTTTCAAAGCATTTTGTAGACCACTTAAAAAACTGGGTTTTGTAGTTTATGTAAAATTTTTGCGGGGAACTGTTTTTTTTATTTTTTGCTGTATCTGATTGAATTTGGGAAGGAATGTTTGTTATAAGAGATTTGTTTCTGCAAGGTATAGTCATTTATTGGTATGAGTAGGATACTTTAGTGGGGTTTTGAGTAGTCTCTATTTCACTCGAAACCTGTTAGCAACGGGATTACAGTTGTGATGAAATCAGATGTGTTAAGGTATTAAAATCCTCTTGAAGTACCTGCCGCAAACTGGTAAAACGATAAAGGATTTGAAAGAATTTACTGCGAAAGATGAAGCTTTTAAAAGGGAAATTGAGGATTTAAGAAAAGAAGTTGAAGAATTCTCTTCTCACTTTAGCATTCCTGGAAATGAGGAAATCTAGTTTAAAGGTAAGTGCAAACGGAAATTTCTTTTTGAGAAATGTTTTTGGCTTTGTTTTAACCAATTTTCTGTTAATGTTTTGTAAAGATTACGGTTATCCGCATACATTCCCAAGTAATTTTATGTAAGAATAAGTTCATGTATTGTTGCGCAAAATTTTATTTCCTCATTCTTATTAAATTGTTCTTACATTTATATGTAGTTTGTTAGGCAGCACTTACGGTTACTCGTAATTGTAGTCTAGGAACAGACTATTAGAACACTCAAAGCGAGAAGATTTTGGTCTTTGCTCATTGATCCAGTTATTTGTAAAGTTTAATAAAATTTTGTTTTTGCGTGCTTTTTCGACGTATCTGCATAACAAGGAACTTGGCTTGGTCTCGAAATACAGTAGTGGAATTTGAATATAATTTTTGCTTAATTTGTGGTCACATTTTTTTGTCGGTTTTGACCTATCGTAATTGTGTAATTGTCGTAGACAGGGCATTGAGGGCAACAGCAATGGGTGAAGCGCCGTCTAAAAGTTGAAGATTATCATTGCGACATTTTACGTCCATTGTCTTAGTTTTTTCATGGAAGATACGTGAAATGCAACGTGAGAACAACAGTAGTTGTAGGATGGATGGTGGGCGATGATGTGAGAAGAATTTTGGCAACGAAGCTTCATGAGAACTAGTGGTCAGGTAGTTTACAAGTTTGGGCACAACAAATGCATTATTCAAACACTGCTTTAAGGAACGTGAATTGCCAAAAGTTTGCTTTGTCGTTCACTGAACAACTCACTGAGAGGCTTGTTTTGTAACTTGAATAGTTATGTAACTTTTGTAGGATCAGTTTACAAGTTGCTGATTCATAGTTGCTGGGGGGCGAATAAAAAATTATCGAGCTGGTTAGTGTGCACTCGGGAGTGATTTTTTAGAGATCTAAATAATCATAGCGTTTTGGATTGGTCAGCAGCAGCAGTGACGGTTGCAGTGGTCTAGTATCAGGCAAGCAAACTGCGGTTGTTTTTGACAGTGGAGAATCAGGTATCAGATTTGCAGAGAAGTGTTTGGCGTGTTCTGGCAGGCTATGCTCGAACGTTTCATAAGCTCTCAAATTCAGCAAAAAGAGACCACTTTTTTCGTTCAAGTATTGTTCGTGTTTAAAATATGGTTAGCATTTCACAGGAGTAAACGCATTACTTTTGTCTGACAACCCTAAAAATTTAAGTTTAAAATATGACAAGTTGAGCGTCAGTTGTTCAAAAACACTGATTTGTTATGATTTGAGAACTGGATCTAAATTTCACTAAATTTTACAAAAAAAGTTAAAGAGTATTATATGTTCGCTCCAGAAAAACGTTACATTTTTTATTCTACCGTCTGCACCTTGTTTTTTGATCTGACCAGATGTTCGAAACAAATGTCGGTGCCCAGCTGCTGACTGCGATGAATCATCATAAACGGATGAACACGTATAAAAAGCAAAATTCTGCCTTATCAGATTTATTAGTAAATCAGCGATAAGTAGACTAGTGTTTACGTTGGACAATATTTTTAGGAGTAGCATTTCCAGAATTTTGTAATGATTTTCTTACAGAATCCAGTGGGTAATGTAGCCTAACTTTCTCCCTATTCAGCTTTATTGGCGACATTGTTATTGATAAATAGAAAGAAAAATCAGTAATTGTGAAACCGTCAATGGATTACTATGATTGTCAGCATTTTGCGACTGAATTTTTCCTACGATTCGTTATACTGATTAAGGTATCAACTAACTGATTCAGCCAAGTGTTATTAAAGGTTTCTATTCGCTCGCTGTGTCCTTCGTGAACTGTGATTGCTGACGCTCTTTGAACTAGCTAAAGTTTTCACTCATTTTTTTTTAACTTTTCATCGAGCAAAAAACCAGTGAACTGTCGTAGACAGTAAAAACGTGTTTTCACCGTTTCCATTACTTTCAAACGTATTTTACTATTACTGTTGTTTTGTTATACCGTTTCATTAAGCTCACTTACGAAGCCCTATACTTTGTTTCCAAGAATTTCACTATTGCAACCGCTTTTACATTCCT